TGCAAAGGGGCTGAGGCTCACGCAAGTTCACTTGCTCACTTGCTCTTCCATCATAAGATCAACAGCCCCTCTGCCTCCCCTACCCCCTTCCCCCATCACCCTCCAGGAGGCTGAGTTGAAACATTCTCTAGAGACACCTTTTCTTTGCAAAGGATGGTTGGGAGGCCCTTAAAAAGCAAATATTCAGCCTCATAAACATGTCATAAATCCATAGCCAAGTTCTCCATGTTCTCTGTGTTTTTCTGTGATGCATCTAATATCTTTCTACCCATGACTTTGAACCTACATCTTCTAGGTTCAGGTTACTAAGAAGTGGCTGTTCACAGGAGATTTTATTACTATTTACTACTCTTGTATGGATGGAGCAGTTGCTTCTTTTTTATTCATCTCCAAGAAAATGTATTCCCTGATGATCTCAGATAAAACCTATGAGATAGATTTTCTTTTCTTTCTTTCTTTTTTTTTTTTTTTTTTTTTTTGGAAGAAGTTCCTTCTACTTCTGGTAGGTTATTTTCTGACCTGGATTTTCCAGAAGCTGGATTGCCTTAATGGTTTGAAAGTGGTGGTCATTATGTGGGAAACTGTTAATACATCTACTTCCTTCCCTCAGAATGAATGTGCTCAAGACAAGTGCCATCTGATGCCCACTAGGCCCCTTGCAAATTCTGTCCATAAACATCCACAAATGACAAAATGCAGGAGAGCCAACTCTTGGTTAACCAGCATTCCACACACTCAAACTGTCAATTACTCAAAGCTTTGTACTTGACTTGAGAGGAGAAGACTAAGAACATGGAAGAAGCTGATATTAGAAGGTTTGCTCTAGAAACCAAAATCTTCCAGTGGCTGTTTTGATAATCCCAATAATTGCTAGGAGCTTATGGGATGCCAGACACACTGTTAAGTAGCTTATTTTTTATTTATTTATTTATTTATTTATTTATTTTTTTGAGACAGAGTCTCCCTCTGTCACCCAGGCCAGAGTACACAGGCACAATCACGGCTCACAGCAACTTCTCACTCAACCTCCTTGCTCAAGTGCTCAACCCACCTCAGCCTTCCAAGTGGCTGGGACTACAGGCACGCGCCACTACACTCAGCTAATTTTTGTATGTTTTATATATATGGGCTTTTGTCATGTTGCCCAGGCTGGTCTCGAACTCCTGGGCTCGATTCAAACCATCTGCCTTGGCCTTCCAAAGAGCTGGGATTACAGACATTAGCCACCATGCCCAGCCCACACACATGATCTAATTAAATCCTCACAACCCTCAAAGAAAGTAGTGTTATTGTCCCCATTTTGCAAATAAGAAAACTGAGTCTTACAGTGGTTGAATAACTTGCATCACACAAGTCTGCCCTTGAACTCAGGACACTGACTTCTGAGTCCACAGGTTTAACTTATACTCGGTTGTTCTAGGAAATCAATAAATCCATGTCCAATACCTACAACTACTGCAGAGACCTTTAGAGCTGGTTGAAAAAAGCCTATTCACCTGTCTTTTTATAGTCGAGGAGGCAGATGCCCAAATAGAGAAAGGAGTCCATCTGAACTCAGCCAGCAACCACTAGCACCAGGATTTGAAACAAGTTCATACCCGCAGGGCGTTGCCTAGAGGCTGCATGTTTAGAAAGATGACAGTCTCCTGTCTCCCACAACAGCCTCCCCTACGGTTGCTAGGGCTCCCTAAAAATAGCACAGTGAGATCATATCTTTTGGACCTATTTCCAATAAGAAAATTGGGAGGGGAGTAAGTTAATCACTTAATTAAATTTTGTAATCAATTAAGTAGCAGGGCCAAATTGAAGATTCCTTTGGATGTTAGATTCAACAAGCCAACATGATAGACAACAGCCATTGGCCAGGTGCGGTGGCTCACACTTGTAATCTCAGCACTTTGGGATGTCGAGGCAGGTGAATCACCTGAGGTCAGGAGTTTGAGACCATTCTGGTGAACATGGTGAAACCCCTCCTCTACTAAAACTACAAAAATTCGCCCAGGCATGGTGGCACATGCCTGTAATCCCAGCTACTCGGGAGGCTGAGGCAGGAGAATCACTTGAACCCGGGAGGTGGAGGTTGAAGTGAGCCGAGATCACGCCACTGCACTCCACCCTGGGCAACAGATCAAGACCCCACCTCAAAAAGAAAAAAAAAAAAAAAACAGCCATGAAGTACACACAATGGTCCAAGTTCCATCCCAATCAATTTACATACTTTAACTTAGTTCTTCCTCACAGAGCTAATGAGGGGGGACGAATATTACCCCCACTTCACAGGTGATGAAACTGAGGCACAGAGAGATTAAGTACTTGCTCAAGTTCTGTTAACTTTACCTAATATCCATATAATAATGCTTCCACACATATTTTCTTATTTAATATCATAAGCTTGAGATTTACAGATAAATATTTTATTATTTTTATCACCTCCATTTGTGGGAAACCGAAGTTTTTGCCTTAGCCCTGTCACTACTGAGCTAAGGAACCCTGAGCTTTTCCTCTTCAGGCCCCAATGTCCTCCTCTGCAAAGTGAGAGGCTTGGAACTGGATTGTTTCTGAGGTCTCTCCAGTGTAAATACCCAAGAAAATAAAGAGACAACCTTGTTCTCTGGAATGTCCTTCCCTTATGGTCTGACAAATGTGAGGTTTCTTGGCTTAAATACAGGTAGGTTGGCATCCCCTCCGTGGTTGTAAATAAGTATGTGATTTAATTATCCATGTGCCCAAGGGCAGAGGAGAGTGGATGCATTATTACATTGATCTTATCAAAGCCTGTGTAATCCAGGATGAGGCCTCTCATCTGGCACAACATCTCTGTTTCCACGAGCACTAGATGTATGGTCTGGGCAGGCTTCTCTTGAGATGGTGATGAAGATACAGGAGTTTACTCATGAAAAGTCCTGGGGGCACTAGCCAAGAAATAATCCACATGTTTCTCAATATATTTTCCTTTAGGACAGAGGGTAGAAGAATTTTTGCCATCAGGCCACAACTCTCAAGGGCTAAGGCAGCAGGGAAACTCCCCACTCTCATATGCATGGCAAGATCAGAGTCCTCGTGTTTGTTCTGAGTGTTTTTGTTTCAGTTTGGTTCTTGCTTTTTAAGGCGATTAATTCTGCTTATATTTAAAAGGGCACTGTGTTCTGGCAGGATTTACTTTTAAAACAAAAGGTGAAGGATAGATAAGAAATTAATAGACCCGTTGAGTACATGATGACCTATCATAGCTTTGACACCTGACATTTGGATAGTGGGGAGCACATGGGAAATAATATGGTAAGTCTTTCAATTAATCAAAAGGTTCAGAGAACTGGGCATTTTGTCAGAAACTGTCAAACAACTATAATGTGTTCAAACTTGGCTTTTCACCTATTACTAGAGTGAAGATTGTTTTTTTCTACCCAACATAGAACTTTCCTGCTCTACAGAACTCTCCCACAGTGTGTCATAGGGTAAGGCAAGCCTACTTCTACTATAGAAGCCAAAAAGACCAAATATTCACTGTCCTGGCTTCCCTTGCAGCTAAGTCACAGACAATTAAATAGACATATGGACTTTCAATCAGAAGCTTATGATGCACAGAAGGACCAATGGAAAAGGCATTCTGGTGAGGCCAGCAGCAGTAGCAACAATGTCTGATATCCAGGGACCATGATGGCAGCAGTGGTATACTTGGTAGTGTCCTCTGTTCAGCGGGGATGACAGCAGTATCCTCACTAGACTCTTCTCTGGTACAATTTTGGGCATAGTCTGGGCTGTCATCTTGCTTTCCTTGTTCCAACTCATGTTCCAAGCCTGGGTCTTCCTGGTGATTATGTGAGTTCCCCAGTAGCCTGTCAATAAATTCCTTTTCTTAAATCAGCCACAGTTGGCTTCTGTTATTTATAATTAGGAATTCTAATGGATATACTAGTTATATGACTTGGATAAGTTATTTAATCTCCCTGACTCAGCTTCCCTGTCTGTAAAACGAGAATCATACTCCTCTGTCTTTACAACAGAATATCGTTCAGTCATAAAAAGAAATGAAATACTGATACATGATACAATATGGATGAACCTTAAAAACATCATGCTAAGTGAAAGAAGACAGACACAAAAGGCCACATATTTCCTGACTCCATTTCTATGAAGTGTCCAGTATAGAGAAATCCACAGAAACAGAAAAGGGATTAGTGGTTTCCAGTGGCTAGAGAGAGAGAGGGAATAGGGACTTCTAAAGGTTATAGAGTTTTCTTCTGGAATTTCCTTCTGGAAATAGTATGAGAGGCTCATCTGGGTTACTGGGGAGCTCACAAAATCACCAGAAGACCCAGGTTTGGAACATGAGTTGGAATAAGGAAAGCAAGATGGCAGCCCAGACCATGCCCAAAATCACACCTGAGAAAAGCCTAGTGAGGATACTGCTGGCATCCCCGCTGAACAGAGGACATTACCAAGTGTACCACTGCTGCCATCATGGTCCCTGGGTATCACACATTATTGCTACTGCTGCTGGCCTCACCAGAATGCCCTTTCCATTGGCCCTATTCTCTGCATCATCAGCTTCTGATTGAAAGTCCATAGGTCAATTTAATTGGCTTCTAATTTCCTTCGGGAATTAGATAGTGGTGATGGTTGCCCAAACCTGTGAATATACTAAAAACCATTGAATTTTACACGTTTAAAGGGTACATTTTAAGGTATGTGGATTATATCTCAAAAGAGGGCTTTCACATTTATTCAGTTCTTCATCACTGTTTCCCTTTATGCCCCACCTACTTTCTCTCCTAACACTGATAGTTGACCTCAGCACTACTAAGAAAGCGTCTGGCAACCTTCCATGCACAGCAGCCCCATCAGACAGAGACCCTCCCTCTCTGGGGGTCTCCCCAGATCAATTCCACAGGAGACTGTGATTGGCCCTACTTGGGTCACATGCCCATCTATGGCCCAATCACTGTTCCAAGGGTAGGAACTGTAACTGACTCAGCTTTGTTACTTGGCAACCCCTGTTGGTATTTGGGAGGAGAGAGTACTGTGATGAGCAGCCCTACAGGAACCATGTGGAAAAGGGAAAATTTTACCCCAAAGGAAAGGAGGTACGGTTAGCAAAAAAAGGGAAGATGAGATGGTGTACATGGTCACCAACATCTATCCTGATTCACCATGATCACTACAGAAACCAAGCCTGTTCTAGGGGCGCCAGCAAGACTCTCGTTGAGGACATTAAAGCTGAGACCTAGAGAATAAGTAGAAATAATGAAGTACCTGAGCAAGATTGCTATAGGCAGCAGGAATGCCTCACAGCAGGTAATATATGTTAAAATGCATCATCGACACTAAACCACTGAATATGTTATTTTTATTATTTTAAGGCCCAGGAATCCTGACTCCCAGATGAGGTCCCTTTCTACTCGAGAGAGCTGGGACTTAGACAACACCCGGCCTCAGGTTCCCCTGCAGAAGCTCAATGCTGAGAGCCATCCCTGTCAGTGGAGTAACTGCCTCATTCTTGAAGACTCTCCAGCTGTTTAGTATCACAAGCACAGTAAATACCATTTCATGCCTAGTGTTCCAGCCCTCTTCTCACATAAAAGCTATAATCAGATATTTTAATAGTCCTTGCTTTCATCTAGGTAAAACTGCTCTAAGGGATGATAACATCAGCTCAAGCACATTGCTTGGATCTTGGAATGCTCTGCAGAGCGGGCTTTTTTTCTTTTTCTTTTCTTTTTTTTTTTTTTTTTTTTTTCTTCTTTTAACTGCAAAAAGGGATAGGGGAAGATTGCAAGACTGGCCTGATACAGATTCATAGACTTTCTGGGGCTGGAAGAGAACATTAAAGTCAATCGCCTGCTCATCGTAAAGATCAGAAAATCAAGGAGAACTGACTGGAAGGCTTTAGTTGACTTAATCAAATCCACACAGGTGTTCCTGTCCCTTGAACTGCCCATTTCTGAGTTAGTCAAGGCCCATTTGGTTGCAAAGAACAGAAAACTTAAGAAGTCCACAGGTGGGGTTGAATCCAGGGGCTCGAACAGTGTCATTGGGACACATGTTCACTCTCTCCTTGGGGTTACCAACTGTCCTGGTCTGCCTAGAACTGAAGGGGTTCCTATGATTTTAAAACTTTTAGTTTTAAAATCAGGACAGTCTCAGGCAAACTGTGATGCATTGGTCACCCAAGTCTACATCTTCGGTTATGCTGTCCTCTGTTAACTCCATTCTCTGGCAGGTTCTCCTCTCACAGAGGCAAGACAGCAGCCAACAGCTACAGGGTTTCACCCCACCCTCTCAGCAATGCCTGTGGAAAGGGGCCTTCCCAGTCTCACTGGCAGAAGTCCTGTAATTGGCTCTGATTGGCCTGATTTGGGTCACATGCCTTGAATGCCCCACTGTATCCAGGAGGATGATTGACCAAGCCTGTGCTCACCCTCCTAGACCTTCTAGAAAAAGACACACAAGCCAACCTACTGGTCACCATTCCATCACTATAATTTTATGCCCATGTGTGATGCCTCTCCAGGATAGCAACCCAGAGAGAGAGACAGAGACCCTCCCTCTCTGGGGACCTCCCTAGATCAATTCCAGAGAATACTCTGATTAGCCCTGCTTGGGTCACATGCCCATCTATGGCCCCCAATCACTGTCCCAGGAGTAGGAACTGTAATTGGCTCAGCTTTGTTACTTGGCAACGCCTATTGGTATTGTGGGAGGAGAGAGCACTGTGATGAACAGCCCCACCAAACCACACAGAAAAGGGAAAATTTTCCCCCAAAGGAAAGGAGGGCCAGTTAGCAGAAAAAAGGAGGATGTATGAAACCATACACATATATGGTTACTCACCGTTTATTTAGGGATAAATATTTGGATATCCCTAATCCAAAAATCCAAAATCTGAAATGCTCCAAAATCCAACATTTTTTGAGTGCTGACATGACATTCAAAGGAAATTCTGATTACATTTTGGATTTCAGATTTTCAGATTAGGGATACTGAACCAGTATATATATAACCATATAAGAAGATACATAACCCAGGAACCCTATAGCAAGATGGCACTGATGATCCAGTGACAAATTGTTCCTAGAACCTAGATGTCAGATCCAGGTGACACAACTTACAGAAGCACTTTTTGCAAGCACATAACACTGCAGTGATTTCAACAGGACTTCCTCAGTCTGTACAGGCAGAATCCCATCACCATAAACCCAAATGTGTCTCCTACAAGAAAAAGCGGTGACCGAAAGAAGCAGTTCCCCCAAAACATCTTCCAGCTTGAAACCCTCTGGGGCACTTTGCTAAGAGTGGAGCCTCTGTGCTTCCCACATCAGTAAGATCGTGACATCTGTAAGACTCACTGCATGTTAAAGCTGCTGCATGCAGAGCAGACAAGGCAAGGGACCTGAACCAGGAATCTCCTCTTTATCCCTGACTGGTTGCACTGGGTATTTTCCATTTTCCTTTCCAGACCCAACACTTTGCCCTTGTCTGCCTCGGTCTGTGCCCTGGGAGGCTGACCCATATGGGCTGCATCAATGGGCTCCTTTGACCTCTAGCTTCTGGTCGGGTTTTGCCAGTGAAGGCACTGGCAAGACATCAACAGGCAGAAGGAGAGTGAGTTCAGAATACTGATATCCCTTTTGGCTGCATCCTTCTACCAAAGGCCACAGCTCCTATCTGGAGACCCCCCTATATCATAGCCCTTCTCTCCAGGGCCCTGTAATTGCTCCCTCTGTCTCCCCCTTTAGGCCTAGGGATGGCGGTGTCCCTCCCCATGGCTATCCCCAGGGTGCCCCCCATCCTTTGTTCATTTCCCTTGCCCTGCCCATTCCACTGCAAACTGTCTTTTCACCAAACTATCCTCAATCCCCGCCATCTGCAAGTGCCATGTATTTCCTAAAAGGACCCCGATTTGATATCCCAGCTAGGTGACCTAAAGCAAATTACTCACCTTCCAGGAACCTTAGTCTTACAACTGAGAATGAGGATAACTATACTTATGTCTCAAGGTCATTATGGGATGACATCTGTGGAATCCAGCACGTTGCGTGACACACAGCAGACACTGCCTGTAGACATAGCTCCTGCACTAGACTGGTCTGATCTCTCAGACCACAGATGTCATTTTATTCATCTGTGAATCAGTAGCACCTAACACTGAGTGTGGTATACTCCATGTGCTCAATAAATGTGATTTTATATAGTGTCCTTCTCTTTTTGGCCCTTCTTCCTTCCCTTTGGTCCTGGAAAATAGGTAAGAAAAATAAAGCAGCACTGGACATTGATCCCTAATGTCCACCAATGCCAGAAGCTGATTCTTCATGTTGTATCTTACATTTTTGTTATGTTGTAAAAGGAAACTGATTTGGTCACATACAGTCCATGTGCTTTCTCTAGAAGGAACCCAGCCAGGAAGGGATGCTATTTAAACATGACGGTCCTGTCCCAATATTTGGAGACTTTGTACTTCAAGACAATACTCTGGACCCATTGGTTTCCCCTTGCTTAGGGACTTCTAATACAGCTTCAGTCATTTCAACTGTTTAAAGCACAAGAAAGTGGAGTGCTCCTCCCACAGGGATGGGCACACACTGGTTTCAACATGCCTCCAGTGTTCTAGGGTTGAACACCACGGGAGATGCTCACCTCACTCGCATAGGGCTCTCTGCTTCTATTCTAGCTGAAGACTTCATATGGCAGAGGAAGATCTTCGCAGCAGGTCCTAACTTGTCTTCCACTCATTCTCCGTATCTCCTTCCATGCAGCCTCTGCCCCAGCCAAACTGAGTTCACCACCTTTTCCAAAACACCGCAGATACTCTCACTCTTACATGGCTTTGCCCTCTCCCTGGAGTGTCATCCTCCTTGTCATTTGTCCAGTGAAACTATGCTCCTCTTTAATTTTTATTTTTTCAATTTTTTTTTCCTCGAGACAGAGTCTTACACTCTCACCCAGGCTGGAGTGCAGTGACACAAGCTCGGCTCACTGCAACCTCCACCTCCCAGGCACTAGCAAACCTCCCACCTCAGCCTCCCAGCCAGCTGAGATTACAGGCACGTAGCACCACGCCCAGCTAATTTTTGTATTTTTTGTAGAGATGGAGTTTCAGATGTTGCCCAGGCTGGTCTTGAACTCCTGAGCTCAAGTAATCCACCCATCTCGGCCTCTCAAAGTGCTGGGATTACAGGCATGAGCCACCACGCCAGCCCCAGGCTCTTCTTTTAAGTGTCACCTCTTCTCTGGGACCCTCCATGATTTCCCCATAACAGAATAAGTTCTTTCCTTCTCTGCACTCCCTTATTTGCACATGTATACCATGCATTACATTTTATTGGAATGGGTCTGTCTCCCCAATAGAGGATCATAATCTCTAGCATTTATTAATCATCTACTATGTGCCTACTGCTTCATTTAATTCTCATCTCATTTAATTCTCACAACTCTGTGAAGGAGATCCCTAGACCACAAATGCCATGACTGCAGAGACAATCTGGTAAGTGGGATTTATATTTGTTTGGGGTAGGTTTTGTGTTGTTTTCTTGCTTTTTTCTTTTCTTTTCTTTTCTTCTTGTTCTGGAGGCTTTTTTGTTTTGTTTTGTTTTGGGGGATTTTTCCCCTCAGTCTTCTACCTCCACTGCATGCATTGTCACATAGCAAGAATTCAGTAACTGTTGAATGAATGAAAGTCAGTATTATTTTTACACATGGAAACACTCTAGGCCGGGCATCGTGGCTCACACCTGTAATCCCAGCACTTTGGGAGATTGAGGTGGGTAGATGACTTTGAGCTCAGGAGTTGGAGACCAGCCTAGGCAATATGGTGAAACCCCGTCTCTACTGAAAATACAAAAATTAGCTTGGTGTAGTGGCACACACCTGTAGTCCCAGCTACTCAGGCGGCTGAGGCTGAAGAATCGCTTGAACCCCAGAGGCAAAAGTTGCAGTGAGCCTAGATCAAACCGTTGCACACCAGCCTGGGTGACAGAGTGAGATCCTGTATCAAAAAAAAAAAAAAAAAAAAAAAAAGCCTGGGCACGGTGGCTCATGCCTGTAATCCCAGCACTTGGGAGGCCAAGGCAGGTAAATCACTTAAGGACAGGAGTTTGAGACCAGTCTGGCCAACATGGTAAAACCCCATCTCTACTAAAAATACAAAAAATTAGCTGGACTTGGTGGTGGGCACCTGTAATCCCAGCTACTCGGGAGGCTGAGGCAGGAGAATCGCTTGAACCCGGGAGATGGAGGTTGCAGTGAGCCAAGATAGCGCCATTGCACTCCAGCCTGGGTGACAGAGCAAGACTCCAGCTCAAAAAACAAAACAAAACAAATACAAAAACAAAAGCATAAAGAAAACACTTTAAAGCACAGACTTGAATGAATGTGCCCATGGCCTCTCACACTATGCCCAACTTATTCCCGGTGGGCAAAGGCCACAGCTCACTTATCTTTATTTCACCAGTGGCAGGGCCTTGGCGTGGCACTCAGAAACTACCAGAAAAAGGCATGGAGAAGGAACAAATGAATATTTGGTTTCCGCAAATCCCAAAGGATTTTCATTTGATGATAGCCAATAGAAAAAGGTGAAGTAATAGCCAAGTTCTACCACA